AAAAAAAAAAAAAAACAAAGAGGGATGCAGAGATTGACAGCCTGGACAATAAGCAAACCTTCTTACCATGTTCCTACTAGGGGAGCCTGGAGAGTCCCTCTGCCATTCCCTTGCATTTCTTACACTTGTCATCCAATTCAGGTGATAAAATCATAGCTGTTTTTTACTCTGGTGTATATTTTTAAAACATCTTTGAAATCTTTAAATTTTTTTTCAAGACTCAACTACAGGCTTAAATGAATGGATAAATGTTTAGTAAGGTAGGTCAATTTCAATCAGTGAAGGGTGATGTTAATAATGAGTAGTAAAAAATGTGGAATCTATACTAATAACAAACTTAGAAGTTGTGGAAATTAAGAACGGTGGTGTATATACAAATGGTGGAAGCTAAAGATAGAGCTAAAGTGTATGAAAATTCAACCTCTGTATCTAAAGTTAATATCTTTTTTAATATTTGAAAAATATTTAAACATAAAAATCTTTAAATTTGTTTAGAAAACAGAGGCTCTTCGTTTGCAGTATCGCTACTTAGACTTGCGTAGCTTCCAAATGCAGTATAACCTGCGGCTGAGGTCCCAGATGGTCATGAAAATGCGGGAATATCTCTGTAATCTACATGGTAAGGGAAATGCCTGACTGTTCTTTAGACCTTTTTAGCGTCTCTTCTGTTTTTTTTTTAAAGATTTTATTTATTTTATTTTTTCCCCCCAAAGCCCCAGTGGATAGTTGTATGTCCTAGCTGCACATCCTTCTAGATGCTGTATGCGGGACTCGGCCTCAGGATGAACGGAGAAGTGGTGCCTCGATGCGCACCCGGGATCCGAACCCGGGCCACCAGCATCGCAGTGCGCGCACTTAACCACCAAGCCACAGGGCCAGCCCTTTTTTTTTTTTTTTTAAAGATTTTATTTATTGCGTCTCTTCTGTTTTATTCAGCAGTTTTATTGTATCCTCTCCTTAGCATCAGTGGGTCAGATGTTGCCAGAGGTCTGGAATTCACTTAATGTGTAACCCAGTTTTTGAAGAAAGGTTAATTTCCAGATATTTTGTCCTGGATCATAATTTAGTTCCCTACTGGGTCACAGATATAGCCTTTTAAAGGTGATAGTGCCTGTTTCATTGTTTAAATTTTTTCCATCACTGCTGAAGGTAGGACAGCCCTTTGGTTGTTATTTGTAGGTTTTCTTAATTCTTTATCACATTTATACATCATTTGTTGGGAGCTCAGAAATGTCATGTGAATTAAATTAGACTCTTTAATCAATCCTGGGTTTTTTCTACCACAGTATTTGTGTTATTTTTGCTACACTAGCAGAACATTTAGCAAACCAGAACAATTCACTAGACAAGGATCTATCAAATAGAATTATTTCATGACAAAAGTATCAACTTTCTGAACAGAATAGGATTTTATTAAAATCTTCAGCTACCTTCTTGGATTTGTAGAAACCAATATCAGGAGGCATGGTAACTTATTTCAGTCAAAATTCCTGATTAGAGGATGCATCAGATTTGTTGGACTGTACTGTAGACATTATATATGACAAATTCCTGTACTGAAGTTTCTCTCTTTTTAGGGTTTGTGGATATAGAAACACCAACATTATTTAAGAGGACTCCGGGGGTATGTATATTCCTTAAATCAGCCTACTGATTCATTAATAATGTCCTATTAGTTATGAAACTGGACCACTTTGCTTTTGTATTCATTTGGTTCTATTTCTTTTATTTATTTTACTGCCTCAGGATGGTCACATTAACTAGGTTTTATTAAAAGTTGAGAAAATTATATGGGTCAGTATTTTTTTTTAATTGAGGCCATTATAGTTTATAACATTGTGAAATTTCAGTTGTACATTATTATTTGTCAGTCAACATATATATGTGCCCCTTTACCCATTATGGCCACCCCCCAACCTCCTTCCCCTCTGGAAACCCCAGATCTGTTCTCTTTGTTCATGTGTTTGTTTATCTTCCACATATGAGTGAAATCCTGCAATGTTTGTCTTTCTCTATCTGGCTTATTTCGCTTAACATAATACCCTCAAGGTCCATCCATGTTGTTGCAAATGGGACAAATTTGTCTGTTTTTAATGGCTGAGTAGTATTCCATTGTATATATATACCACATCTTCTTTATCCATTCATCAGTCAGTGGGCACTTGGGTTGCTTCCACATCTTGGCTATTGTGAATAATGCTGCAGTGAACATAGGGGTGCATAAGTCTCTTTGAATTGTTGATTTCAAGTTTGTTGCATAAATACCCGGTAGTGGGATAGCTGGGTCATATGATATTTCTATTTTTAATTTTTTGAGAAATCGCCATACTGTTTTCCATAGAGGCTGCACCAGTTTGCATTCCCACCAGCAGCATATGAGGGTTCCCTTTTCTCGACAACCTCTCCAACATTTGTTATTTTTTGTCTTGGTGATTAGAGCCATTCTAATGGGTGTAAGGTGATACCTTAGTGTAGTTTTGATTTGCATTTCCCTGATGATTAGTGATGTTAAACATCTTTTCATATGCCTATTGGCCATCTGTATATCTTCTTTGGAAAAATGTCTGTTCATATCCTCTGCCCATTTTTTAATTGAGTTGTTTGTTTTTTTGTTGTTGAGTTGTGTGAGTTCTTTATATATTTTGGAGATTAACCCCTTGTTGGATATATGATTTGCAAATATTTTCTCCCAGTTGGTAGGTTGTCTTTTCATTTTGTTCCTGGTTTCCTTTGCCTTGCAGAAGCTCTTTAGTCTGATGAAGTCCCACCTGTTTATTTTTTCTTTTATTTCCCTTCTCTGAGTAGACATGGTATTCGAAAGGATCCTTCTAAGACTCATGTCAAAGAGTGTACTGCCTATATTTTCTTCTAGGAGTTTTATGGTTTCAGGTCTTACCTTTAAGTCTTTGATCCGTTTTGAGTTAATTTTTATGTATGGTGGAAGATAATGGTCTACTTCATTCTTTTGCATGTGGCTACCCAGTTTTCCCAACACCATTTATTGAAGAGACTTTCCTTTCTCCATTGTGTGTTCTTAGCTCCTTCGTTGAAGATTAGCTACCCATAGATGTGAGGTTTTATTTCTGGGCTTTCAATTCTGTTCCATTGATCTGTGTACCTGTTTTTGTACCAGTACCATGCTATTTTGATTACTATCACTTTGTAGTATATTTTGAAGTCAGGAATTGTGATGCCTCCAGCTACGTTCTTTTTTCTCAAGATTGCTGTAGCTATTCGGGGTCTTTTGTTGCCACATATGAATGTTAGGATTCTTTGTTCTATTTCCGTGAAGAATGTCATTGGGATTCTGATTGAGAGTGCATTGAATCTGTAGATTGCTTTAGGTAGTATGGACATTTTCACTATGTTTAGTCTTTGAATCCATGTGCATGGAATATCTTTCCATTTCTCTGTGTCTTCTTTGATTTCTTTGAATAATGTCTTTTAGTTTTCATTGTATAGGTCTTTCACCTCCTTGGTTAAATGTGTCATTTAATAAATGATATTTTATTTTTTTTGTTGCAATTGTAAATGGGATTGTATTCTTGAGTTCTCTTTCTGTTAGTTCATTATTAGATTGTAGAAATGCAACTGATTTTTCTAAGTTGATTTTGTACCCTGCAACTTTGCTGTATAATTGTTGATTATTTCTAATAGTTTTCTGATGGATTCTTTAGTGTTTTCTATATATAAAATCATGTCATCTGCAAACAGCAAGAGTTTCACTTCTTCATTGCCTATTTGGATTCCTTTTATTTCTTTTTCTTGCCTAATTGCTCTGGCCAAAACCTCCAGTACTATGTTGAATAAGAGTTGAGATGTGTTTTCTAGAGGCAGCATATTGTTGGGTCTTGTTTTTCAATCCATCCCACCACTCTGTGTCTTTTGATTGGAGAATTCAATCCATTTACAGTTAGAGTGATTATTGATATATGAGGGCTCAATGCTGCCATTTTATCGCTGGTTTTCCAGTTCTTCTGCATTTCCTTTGTTTCTTGTCTCATGTATTTCGGACTGCGGATTCAGTTTGGTAGTTCCCTATGATGGTTTTCTTAGTTTTCTCTTTATTTATCATTTGTGTCTCTGTTCTGATTATTTGTTTAGTGGTTACCGCGAGATTTATGTTAAAAAATCTCGTAGATGAGATAGTCCATTTTCTGATAGCCTCTTATTTCCTTAGACTAAGCGGATTCCATCTCTTTCCTTTTCCCCTTCTAAGTTATTATTTTCACAACCTATTCCATCTTCTGTTGTGAGTTTGTGGTTAAAATGACAAGATTATATTCATTTTCGGTGTTTTCCTTCCCTTTATATATAATGTTACAATTAAGTGTTTGCTAACCTGTTCTGATAGAGAACTGTAAGTTTCTGTTTTCCCCTACCTATTTATCTCCTTGCTCAAGGCTTTGTAACTCCTTTCTTTTTTTTTTTTTCCAAGTTATGAAAGGGCCTTCTTGACCATTTCTTGTAGGCAAGGGTCTTGTGGTGATGAACTCCCTTGGCTTTTGTTTATCTGGGAAAGTTTTTATTTCTCCATCATATCTGAAGGATATTTTCGCTGGATAGAGTATTCTTGGCTGAAAGGTTTTGTGTTTCAGAATTTTAAATGTATCGTTCCACTCTCTCCTAGCCTGTAAGGTTTCTGCTGAGAAATCTGCTGAAAGCCTGATAGGAGTTCCTTTTTAAGTTATTTTCTTCCGCCTTGCTGCCCTTAGTATTTTTTCTTTGTCATTGACTTTTGCCAGTTTTACTACTATTTGCCTTGGAAAAGGTCTTTTTACATTGATATAGTTAGGAGTTCTGTTGGCTTCTTTCACTTGTATTTCCAGCTCCTTCCCCAGGTTTGGGAAGTTCTCAGCTATTATTTCTTTTCTTTTCTTTTCTTTTTTTTTGTGAGGAAGACTGGCCCTGAGCTAACATCTGCCAATCCTCCTCTTTTTTTTGTTTTTTTTTTGCTGAGGAAGACTGGCCCTGGGCTAACATCCATGCCCATCTTCCTCCACTTTATATGGGACGCCGTCACAGCATGGCTTGACAAGCGGTGCATCGGTGCATGCCAGGGATCCGAACTGGTGAACCCCGGGCCACTGCAGCGGAGTGCGTGCACTTAACCACTTGCGCCACCAGGCTGGCCCCACCTATTATTTCTTTGAACAAGCTTTCTGCTCCATTCTTCTTCTCTTCTCCCTCTGGAATACCTATAATCCTTGTCTGTTGCATTTGCTAATTGAGTCGGATATTTCTTGGAGAATTTCTTCATTTCTTTTGGTCTTAGTTCTCTCTCCTCCTCCATCTGAAGCATTTCTATATTTCTGTCCTCCAGACTGCTGATTCACTCCTCCATAATATCAGCTCTGTTATTCAGGGAGTCTAGATTTTTCTTTGTCTCATCCACTGTGTTTTTCATCTCCAACATTTCTGATTGGTTTTTCTTTATAGTTTCTGGTTTTTCTTTATAGTTTCAATCTCTTTTGTGAAGAAGTGCACGATTTCGTTGAACTGTCTATCTGTATTTTCTTGTAACTCGTTGAGTTTTTTATGATAACTATTTTGAATTCTCTGTCATTTAGATTATAAATTTCTGTGCCTTCAGGATTGATTTCTGGGTGCTTCTCATTTCCCTTCTGGTCTGGAGATTTAATATAGTTTTTCATACTGTTTGACAGCGTGGATTTGTGCCTCTGCATACTGATAGTATCTGGTTGCAGCTTCCACCTGCCAAACACTGGGTGGGGGTCAAGAGCTGAGTATTCTGAGCCCGCTGCGATCCACAGCTCACTGGGTCAGAGTTGCTGCTTTTCTATCCTCTGCATGGGTGCTCTGGCTGACCAGCTGAGCTGGAGCACCGGGTGGGGGGAGGGGCGCTTTCTTTCACCTGCATGATCCCAGGAGTGTTCTTGCTCTGCCCTCGCTATCTGCGCTCCTGGAGTGCTAGCTTGATGAAGACACCCCAGCAATAGCATAGTCACCTCTGTGTGGGGCTTTCCCACGGGCTGTGAGGGAATGGAGAGCAAAGGTGTTCCTGCGGAGGGATGCCCCTCCCCCCTCTCATCTCAGAGCAGTGCGCAGTCCAGAGCCCAGGCTCACTGCTGTTGGGGAGGGAGAGGAGATCCCCTTACCTCCTTCCACTTCGTCCGGGGGTTCCAGCACCTCCACCTTCAGGTGTATGGCTGCATGAGTCTCTCAGACGTCTTTTGTGTTGTGTGAGTGTCCTCTGTTGCTATATGAAAGTACTTTTTGTTGTATCTTAGCGGGGAGAATGTAATCATTCTGCTATGATGCTGATGTGCCAGCTTTCTGGGTTGGTATTTTGAGTCAGAATCATTTTATTCTACATGTTTTCTTTCCCTTGAGGTTTATAGATGCAAAATAATAATGAATTGGTTCCTTAAAAATATATTCCTTGTTCATTGAGAACTGACATTTCTAAACATTGATGTTTATTTATGCAGTCTATGGCCTTATAAAACTATGGTTTAATTAGAAAAGCAATTAGGAATTACTTGAATACGAATTGATGCAGAGAATTATTTTAGCTAGTAACAGAATTGAGAATTCATTTCAACAAGCATACATTAAATACGTACTATGTACAAACATTTTTTAAAGCCTACTATGTGTGAAGAACTAAAAGATGAGAAAGAAATGATCTCTGTCATCATGGGAACTTTGCTCTTTAGTTAATTTCATTGATGAGCTGAAGTATCAACTTGTACTAGTCCTTGGGTTTGTTTTTTTAATAATATCTCTGCTCTCCCTCTCTCTTGTTAAAAGGGTGCAAAAGAGTTTGTAATACCATCCAGGGAACCTGGGAAGTTTTATGTTCTCCCTCAGAGCCCTCAACAGTTTAAGCAGCTTCTAATGGTTGGTGGTTTAGACAGGTGAGTTCTCTTTATGCTAGTAGTTGTCAGTAAAGGAAAAGAGAAAAAAAAAGGGAAAACGGAAACACAAAGTTGTCTGATCTCTTAAAAGAAAGTTAGGAAAGGTATGAGAGTTTGGAAAGTACTTGTAAAATACCCTCAAAATTTATAGTTGTCTTTTAGTAAATATTTATTGGGTAGCCACAGTGTGCAAAGCTCTATGCTAGTAGGTGTGGCAGGAGATTAAAAACAAAAAAGAACAGGTTGTTCTCTCAATGAGTTAATGAATCTAATAAGGCAGGATAGGGTAATAAATAAGACCAACTGTGATATAAACCAAAATGTAAGTGCATTGAGAGTTGTAAACTAGGTATTAAGAGGTTTGAAATTATATTGTTTTGAGGAATATTATAGAAAACTTTGTGAACTAGGCCTTCTAGGACAGAGGTGTCTTTCAGCAGATGAAGATGAGAGCTGGAATGGTATAGCATAGGAAAGCTCAAGTGAATTCCTGGAGCAATAAGTATTTCAATTTGGCTGAAGCAAAAGAGTATAAAGAAACATGGACTGCCTTGCATGCCGGTGTAGTATATGAATATCCAAAGGTGCCATTGTATATTTTTAAAACATTATATAGAATAGTTAACTTCTCACGGGGCAGTTTTGTGTCTGATTAGAATATCATAAATAATTTCAAAATTTCCTATGTCCTTTAGGTATCATTATTAATTTATTTCATAAGCCTACATTGCCATGAACTTTGGGGAAAAGTGTGTGTCTTCCTGGAATCATGACTCAATTAATGCTATTTTTCAATTGTAGGTATTTTCAGGTTGCCCGATGTTATCGAGATGAAGGTTCGAGACCAGACAGACAGCCTGAGTTTACTCAGGTACCAAGTCATATTTATTTGTCTCTTACTTGGCTGTAGCAAGCCTGAAACTGTGTTTTAAGACCTGCACAGTAATTATACATACTTCTTATTACATTTTATCCATCAGATATTTAATTAAACTAACCTGCAGTTGAGGCGCTAATTATTTAATCTTTGATCCATTTCATGTCTCCTTTTTATAAGGAGTATGATCATCAACAAGGGAATGCCAGAGATTCCTATGGTGTTTTAAGGGTTATGATATGATGAAGTTCTTAAATCTCTTGTACATTAAAAACCAACAATTCTGTATGTTGATATTTAACCTATTTATCTAATCTGTGGACTCGTCAAAGCTCTTATGATTTAGTTTCTGTATGCTAGCATATTAATCAGTGTGGTGAAGTGCAAAATTCATAAGCTTTGGAGTTGGACAGACCTGGGATCAAATGTAGCTTCATTATTTCCTAATTCCACCTACACAGCAGGTGACTTAGCCTCTCTGAACCATGAACCGTGAGATAGTCGTGGGAACTAAACAAGTTGATATATGTAAAGCATTAGCACAGTGCCTGACATAAAACAGATGTACAGTAATATTTATCCCCCCCTCATGTATTGAGTATTTATGTGCTGAATCCAATAGTAACTTGAAACCAGAGAAATATATAAATACGTACATATTAATATTGCGGCTGTTCAAGTTAGTTTCCATATGTTATTTTGGTTTCAGATTGACATAGAGATGTCTTTTGTAGACCAGACTGGGATCCAGAGTCTCATTGAGGGTTTGCTCCAGTATTCCTGGCCCAGTGACAGAGATCCTGTGGTGGTTCCTTTTCCTTCTATGACTTTTGCTGAGGCATTGGCCTCCTATGGAACTGATAAACCTGATACTCGCTTTGGGATGAAGGTACTTCTCTTCACTTTTTCAGGACTCTGCCTTCAAGTAGTCTTGCAGTCTTTCAAACCACTTTGAAATTTACAACCAGTTAGACACGGTGTTATATTGTATTTTTTGTTGTTACTTTAGCTTGTTACCATAGTTGTTACCGAGCTACAGCAAGAGAGAATAACAGCATGTTAGCATTACAGTACTTTCTGTCTACTCTGTTCCAGGACTGATTTCCAAGAGCAAGGTTCTTGCTATAAAGGTTTTTCTTTTTTTTTTGTGAGGAAGATCGGCCCTGAGCTAACATCTGCCAATCCTACTCTTTATGTTGAGGAAGACTGGCCCTGGGCTAACATCCATGCCCATCTTCCTCCACTTTATATGGGATGCCGCCACAGCATGGTTTGACAAGTGGTGGCGCCGGTGCACGCCTGGGATCTGAACTGGCGAACCCTGGGCGGCCGCAGTGGAGTGCGTGCACTTAACCGCTTGCGCCACTGGGCCAGCCCCTTGCTATAAAGTTTTTATTACTGACAAGTTATTAATTATATGGACATGGATGGTAACTTGAAAGAAAAAAAAACCCTATTCTTTCCTCTTTAATTTTTCTTAAGCTAAAATGGCACTTGAAAGGCAAATGGTTAAGAGTTTTTGGTTCTTTTTCTCTGATCTGTAAAGAGCTCAAAGATATGGAAACGTGGGGCAGGCCCCGTGGCTTAGCGGTTAAGTGCGTGCTCTCCGCTGCCGGCGGCCCGGGTTCGGATCCCGGGTGCGCACCGAGGCACCACTCCTCCAGCCATGCTGAGGCCGCATCCCACATACAGCAACTAGAAGGATGTGCAGCTTTGACAGACAACTATGTACTGGGGCTTTGGGGGAAAAATAAATAAATAAAATCTTTAAAAAAAAAAAAAAGATATGGAAACGTTTATTCACATTATTAAGATCTTTACAATTTAACTAAGGTTAAGGGTAGAATTTATGAAGAGCAGTTGCCATTAGCAAGCCTCGCATTCTTTGGTCTTAGAGAGCAACAGCCCTTCATCTCTGTAATGCTGGTGACATTTCTTCATCTAAGTCATCAGTGCACATTTCTTAGAAATTGAATTCTGCCTGGGCAGTGAATAGGCAGTGCCCAGTTCTGAGAATGGAAAAAATATAATACACAAAAAGTCATAACAACCTACTTACAGCGGCCACCTTAACTACTCCTTGTTTCCTCTTTCGTAGTATGGAATAGCATTACGTCACACTGCTTAGGTTAAATTCTGGCTCTGCCACTTACTAGCTCTGTCATCTTGGGCAAGTTACTTCCTTCTCTGTGTCTTGGTTTCCTCATCGGTTAAATGAGGATAATAAGAGTGCCTACCTTATACTCTTGTATGAATGAAATGAATTCATACTAATGAATAATACATTAGACATTAACACTTGTCACAATGCCCAACCCATGATAAACTCTCTATGAATGCACTCTATAAATGTAAACTTAAGATCCACTTTCTTGTTTAAAATCTTGTTTGTACAACGTTTTGAGATAAAAATTACTTCACATTTAGTTACCGTTTTTTGTTACCCATTTTCCAGATTGTAGATATCAGCAATGTGTTCAGAAACACAGAGGTTAGATTTCTTCAGGATGCGCTGAGTAAACCCCAAGGAACCGTCAAAGCCATTTGTATCCCTGAAGGAGCAGTAAGTGAAGCACAATTCTGTGTTTTCTCTAGAATGTATATTAAACTTCAGAAAGAATAATTCTCTTTAAATAAGAATATATATTTTTATATAAAGTCTAACAATGTCCCTAAAACTATAAGTAGAGAACAATAAAACCTTATGAATATGAGTTTACACTCAAGATCTAGAGCTTTTTTTCCTTTTAAATAATGCTATAAAGTACTCCTGTACTTCACTTGGGAAATTTCCGCCAGTGATGAGCATAAACTAGTGTTCGATATTCTATCTCAGCCTCAGTTTGTCCAAAGGCTCGCAGCCCCGTATCAGCTCCAGCATAGCCCTTGCGTATTGGTTCTTGGTCTTTTAAGGGCTCTGGTCTCAACTGCGTTAGCAACAAGGGAAGAGAAAGGAGATGGAGTTATGAAAGGGAAATGGGGGTAGGAGAGAGAGAGAGAGAATGCTTGGGCCGGGCAAGCACTCACTCTCAAGTAAGAGGGCACATCTGTTTTCTGTAGTTAGTACACTTGCTTTGAAGGTAATTTAATAAGAGGAGTCCCACAAGTATTTTGAATAAGGTTACTATTTTGAAAGACTGTTTTCATTTGGATACATAACCATTTTAGTATATTAATGGGGATAAGAATTTAGTCTCATTACTTTTTATTCACTTCATATGTTCAGTGGAAGGTAATTTGGTATCCATACTCCAGTCCAGACATAATGATTGTGTTCAGGTAAGCTCAGTATAACATATATTGCCTATTATTATTATTTACCCCAATTTGAGTATGTCCATTCTTCCCCAAGTAGATTATAAGAACTGCAGGGCTGTGAACCATGTTTTTACCATTTGTATCTCTCATACCTAGTTAAGTGCCCCCTTAAGATTAGTTAATGGTAATAACCATAATGTCTCACTTAGAAAGACATGGAGATAATTTTTAAAAAGTGAGAAATAAAAAATTTTAAGAGACCTGAAATATCAAATTCTGAATGCTCTTATTGATCTCAGAGTTATTTTTTCTTTCACAGTTCAGTTGGAAAGATTTATTTTGAACGTTTATCCTGCATATTACATATTACATATTACGTGTGCAGGATCTGTGGAATACATTCACAGCTATTTCCAATGGCACCTGCATAATTAGAAAAAAATAAGCCCTGTAACAAGCTTTAAAATTTTTTCATTTGGTGACAGAAATTAAATTTTTGTTGAATCCTACTATTTTGATGGAAAGACACAGCATACATTTGTATCCCATTTGATATCATAAACATATTTATGAAGCTAAGTGTCATACTGATGAGTTTACTTTGATTTTCTTTCATCAGAAATACTTAAAGAGGAAAGAGATTGAGTCCATTAGAAAACTTGCAGCTGACCATTTTAATCAGGTAAGGAGTTAATTAGAGCAGGAGTTTTTTTGTTTCTTTTAGAGATTCAATATTTTTAAATAATTGCTTGATCTCTTATGGTGTCATTAGTTTTGAGGGTCTTATTTCAGATCATTCTTCTTTTTATTTTTATTTTTTAAATTTTTTAATTTTTATTTATTTATTTATTTATTTTTTGCTGTGGAAGATTCACCCTGAGCTAACATCTGTTGCAGATCTTCCTCTTTTTGCGTGAGGAAGATTCGCCCTGAGCTAACATCCGTGCTACTCTTCCTCTGTTTTGTATGTGGGTCGCTGCCACAGCCTGGCCGCCTATAAGTGGTGTAGGTCTGCACTCAGGAACTGAACCCGGGCTGCCAAAAAAGAGCACGCCAAACTTAACCACTAGGCAACAGGGCTGGCCCCTATTTTTTTTTTTTTTTTATTGAGGTCATATTGGTTTATAACATTGTATAATTTCAGTTGTACATTATTATATGTCAGTGTCTGTGTAGACTGCATCGTGCTCACCACTAATAGTCTAGTTTTCATCTGTCACCATACATATGTGCCCCTTTACCTCTTTCACCCACTCCACTACTCCCTTCCCCTCTGAAAATCACTAATCTGTTCTCTTTATGCATGTGTTTGTTTATCTTCCACATATGAGTGAAATCATATGGTGTTTGTCTTTCTCTGGCTTATTTCACTTAACATAATACCCTCAAGGTCTATCCATGTTGTTCCAAATTGCACAATTTTGTCTTTTTTTATGACTGAGTAGTATTCCCTGGTATATATATACCACATCTTGTTTCTTTTTTCTTTTTGTGAGGAAGATCAGCACTGAGCTAACATCTACCAATCCTCCCCTTTTTTGCTGAGGAAGACTGGCCTTAGACTAACATCCATGCCCATCTTCCTCCACTTTATATGGGACGCCGCCACAGCATGGCCCGACAAGTGGTGCGTCTGTGCGTGCCCGGGATCCGAACCAGCAAACCCTGGGCTGCCGCAGCAGAGTGCACACACTTAACCACTTGCCCCACTGCGCTGGCCCCTACCACATCTTCTTTATCCATTCATCAGTTGATGGGGCTTGGGTTGTTTCCATGTTTTGGCTATTGTGAATAATGCTGCAGTGAACATAGGGGTGCATAAATCTCTTTGTATTGTCGATTTCATGTTCTTTGGATAAATACCCAGTAGTGGGATAGCTGGATCGTATGGTATTTCTGTTTTTAACTTTTTGAGAAATTTCTGTACTGTTTTCCATAGTGGCTGTACCAGTTTGCATTCCCACTAGCAGTGTATGAGGGTTCCCTTTTCTCCACATCCTCTCCAACACTTGTTATTCCTTGTCTTGTTAATTCTAGCCATTCTGACGGGTGTGAGGTGATATCTCGTTGTAGTTTTGATTTGCATTTCTGTAAGAATTAGTGATGTTGGACATCTTTTCATATGCCTATTGGCCATCTGTATATCATCTTTGGGAAAATGTCCGTTCATATCCTCTGCCCATTTTTTGATCAGGTTGTTTGTTTTTTTGTTGTTGAGTTGTATGAGTTCTTTATATATTTTGGAAATTAACCCCTTGTTGGATACATGATTTGCACATATTTTCTCCCAGTTGGCGGGATTGTCTTTTCATTTTGTTCGTGGTTTCCTTTGCCTTGCAGAAGCTTTTTAGTCTCATATAGTCCCATTTGTTTATTTTTTTTGTTTCCCTTGCTTGAATAGACATGGTATTCGGAAAGATGCTGCTAAGACCAATGTCAGTGTACTACCTACATTTTCTTCTAGGATTTTTATGGTTTCAGGTCTTACATTCAAGTCTTTAATCCATTTTGAGTTAATTATTTTTAATATGTTTATTAATTTTTAGCAATATGCTGCATGCTCGTGGTTAAAAAAACAAACAGTGAAGAAGGATTAATAAGTCAATGCAATAAGTGTTTGCTCTAGCTTGCTCCACACCAGAGTGTCTCTGTTTTTAGAAATATGTTTACATACTGCCTTTTTTTTTTTTACTTAACTTTTTTTTTTTTTTTTTTTAATTTCAGATATTTTTATTGTTTGGTTCTAGAATTCCTATTTGGTTTATTTTTAGTGTGCCATTTGTATGCTGAGAATCTTGTATGTTCATTAACTATTGTCAAATTTTCCTTTATGTTATGATGTATAATAAATAGACAATTTAATGTATTTTCTACAAAATTCAGTATCTGGGTCAACTCAAGTTGTTTTCTCTTTACTGATTTTTTTTCTTGTCTTTGGGTCACATTTCCCCGTTTCTTCAAGTCTTCAGTAATTTTTAAAATATATTTCAGACACTATGAGTAAGACACTGTAGAAAATCTGATTTCTGTTATATTTCTCTAAGTTTTGATTTTTGTAAAAGCAGGCACTTCACTTGGGTGGACTCATATTCCAGATCTGTCTTCCTGGTAGTAGGCAGGATTTGAGACTGCTCATTTCATTTAGTTTTCCAGCTGTTCCTTTTTGATTTGAGATACATTTCAGTGTGCAGTCTGGGTTTTGGGTTGGTGAATGACATGCTAGCTGGATTTCAGCTCTGCTCTCCTTTTTGTCCAGGGTCTTCTTGCTGTGCCAAACTAATAGGCCCTGTGTGCATCTCGGTGAGAGGTGAGACCTCTCCAGGGACTGGGACATTGGTGGGGGCCATTGTTGTCAACATGTCAACATGTCAACTTTAAACTTTGTTAACTTCCTGCAATGAGAGATGAGGCTCACATATACAGACCTTACCTAGTTTTTACTCTGTACCTTCTGCACAGGTGTCTTTCTGGACCTTTTCTTCATTCCTCTTCTGAGTTGAAGCCAGTCTTTTCCTGGATCCCAGATCTTCCTCTCTCTTATCTGTGCTGGAGTATATCCTCAAGTAACTTCCTAAGAAAGCATATGAGAGAGGAACTTTCTGATTTCTTATATGTCTAAAAATGTCTTTCATGTTCAAAACCTCACACTTGATTAATAATTTGGCTTAGTATAAAGTTCTGAATTGGTAATCATATCCCTTTAGAATACTGCTGTCCCATGGAACTTTCTGTAATAATGGAAATGTCTTATATCTGCATCATCCAATATGGTAGCCACTAGCCAGCATAGCTACTGAATGCTTGAAATGTAGCTAGTAGAACTCAGGGACTGAATTTTTAATTTTATTTCATTTTAATTAATTTAAATTTAAATAGCTGCATGTGACTGGTGGCTACAGTGTTAGACGGCACAGCCTGAGCTCATTAAAGTCAGTGCTTTATTTTCTTCTTGCATCTGGTGGTACTAATAAGAAGTTTGATGCTTGTATGAATTTATTCCTTTATAGCAGACCTGATTTTTTTTTGCTTTGTAAGCTTTCAGCCTCCTGATACTTAATGTTCTGAAATTTCACATTTTGTTTAGCTTTGGGTCTTTTCTCATTCAGTGTGTTGCCCACTTGAAGGGCCCTTTCAATATGAAGGCTCATGTTGTTCATCTCTGGAAAATTCTCTTATTATCTAATATTTTGACCTCATCATTTTCTCTAGTCTCTCTTTTGGAATTTCTATTAGTTGTATGTTGGACCCCTTTATGTAACTTACATGTCTCTCTTTATTTCCATGTCATTTCCCATCATTTTCTTTGTCCTTTTTATTCTTTCTAGGAGATTTCTTTGACTCTTCTGTTGAATTTTTTTTTAGCAATCATATTTTATTTCCCAGTAGCTCCGTCTTGCTTTTTTTCATTGGATTTGATTTTGGTTTTATTGATGAAATATCTTTTTGAGTGCCTTTGAGGATTCAAGTCTTTTGGTCCCTAAATTATCAGTTTTCTTTAGGATCATTCTTTTCTGTTTATCTCTGTCTTTTTTCTTTTCTTTTTTTTTTTTTTTTTTGCTTGAAGAAGATTCGCCCTGAGCTAACATCTGTGCCAGTCTTCCTCTATTTTACATGTGGGTCACTGCCACAGCATGGCTGGCAAGTGGTGTAGGTCTGCGCCCAGGATCCAAACTCGCGAACTCAGGCCACCAAAGCAGAGCGTGCTGAACTTAACCACTACGCCATGGGGCTGGCCTCATCTTTTTTTTTTTTTAATGCTACAAGATTTCTTCAGTGTATGGTGATTTTTAATTGTACATATTTAAGAATGAGGCATTTAAAAAGATGTTTAAAGGGGCTTTTATAAATCATTAGATTTAGTTTAGGCTGAGCAGCAGGACCCGTGGCCATTACCCTGGGGACCCCAGGCTTCCTAAGACCCATGAGCCTCTCTAGGATCCTGCAGGGTAAAATCAGTTCCTTCTGGTGCTGGGGCTGCTCCATTGTCCTCTAGGCCAGAGCTTCCTGCATCTTGCTTCTCTCATCATTCCTATTCCATTCACTTGCAGTCTGCCAGAAATTTGTAGAAATCTCTTATCTGCAATAACCCTCCCCACCCTTCATTCCTTTTTTTTTTTTCATTATGGTGAGATTACTTTTTTAAATTCCTTTAGTATCATTTTGAAGGGGTTCAGGGAGAGAACAGAGATAATTGCATGTAGGTTCTCTTCTGTTGGGAACAAGGAATCTTTGTACTATGAGAAAAATAAATCAACCTCACTTTTTAAAAAAGGTGAATACGTCTTTTTCTTCATTGCAGGAGGTCTTACCTATATTCCTGAAAGCAAATCAAAACTGGAATTCTCCCGTTGCTAAGTTCATAATGGAAGAGGAAAGGTTGGAACTGATCAGACTAATGGAGATCCACGAGGAGGATGTGGTCCTGCTAACTGCTGGAGAGCACAGGAAAGCAGTAAGAAAGCTTACCTCCACACATCTGTGCTGTTGATGCTAGATGCTGCCTCTCTTCTCCTCCTGTGTATATAGTACATATTTGAATTGACTCTTAATTTCATAAAGTGGAGCAGCTCTACGTGAGTTTTTATATTAATAAATATCTTCCAGTACTCTATAATGCATTGTATAAAAACTAGTTTTTTTCATCAGTTACCAGCCTCTGTTGGCATTGCTCACACAGATTAGATCTGGCTGATTAGGAAAGCCACTTAGGTAGAGGGCTGTTGATATTCATTGTACAGCTATGGCAAAATATTTTTATTTTCAAGGTTTTGCAGATGAAGAAAATTTGGTAATCCCACACTTTTGTACATAATGCATTCCTGAAAATGCAGAGGGACAGATCAGACTGCTGAAGGACTTCTGGGCTGGCAGACACCCCTGGCCCTCCTTGGTCGAGGTGGGACCCTTTTTCCTCAGGAGCAGCAGCTGGGAGGGAGTGCGTGCTACACGCACTGGCTAGATCACCATTCTTGAGAGGATATGTGGAGGACTGGATTTAGCTTTAGAGATCATTGTAAAATATAAAAAAGTGTGGCGTAAAAGTCAAACATGAATATTGAAAATAGACTGTAAAGGTCAAGTCTAGTTAACATCTGTCACCATACATAGGTACAGAATTTTTTTTTCTTGTGGTGAGAACTTTTAAAATCTATTCTCTTAACAACTTTCAAATATGCAGTACCATCTTACTAGCTGCAGTTGCCGTGCTGTACATTACATCCCCAGGACTTATTTATTTTATACATTCATTCTTGCACTGTAGTATAGTATGGTTTCTTTATAGTAATAGTGTCTGATTAGTACTTTATTACATTCATTCTTCTAATTTATATTTACACTGTACTTATTTATCATTATTTTTTCCAAAGGAAAAGTTTCAGAGTTCAACTTCAAAGCTAAATGTAATCCACTGTCTTTCCCTTCTCCTTCAATAGTAGAGTGAAGAAAGGTATTTAATTACAAATTTTATTGTCAACTCATTTCTTAAAAAAACTTGAGATTTTGTATTATATAAAAATCCTGCTGCAAACTCATTTGCCTGTTGAACTTTCCCCTGGTATGAACCGAAACTGCTGGTCTTCTTTTCCCAGGAAGGTATCATTCTAACTCCTACTGGGACTTCCTTGAAAGAACACTGGAAACCAGACTTACAAGGAATAGCTTTAACATTCTGAAAATATCACAATGAAAGTGCCCTGAGTGGGTATTTAAATGTAGGATAGAATAGGCCACAAAGTGACACCCTATCGATGTCTCCAGGCGTGTTTCACTGTTTTGACTAACCGTCCTTTCTCAGGGAAGCCCTGCGCGTCATAGGTGGTGCTTATCAAGCACTTCCTATTTGCCCAGCACTGTCCTAAGTACTTTGTATGTAGTAACTCATTTAATCCTCATGCCAACCCTGTGAGAGAAGTACTGATACTGTTACCATTTTAAAGACTAGAAAATTGAGGCACAGAGGTTAAAAATTGGCTCACACTCACACAGCTAAGAAGTGGAGGAGCCAGATTTCTAACCCACAAAGTCTGGTTTCAGAAGTCACACTCTTAAATTAACCTCTACTCCACACTTCCTCTCTAATAATAGCCATTATTTATTGAACATTAACTCTGTGCTGGGCATTCATCAGATCCTCACCAGCCCTTCAGGAGCAGTAAGGAAATAATAATCATAATAGCTGCCATTCGTATTGCACCTTACATATCTTTTCTCACTTAATCTTCACAACAGTCTTTTGCAATAGATATTTTTATCCCCATTTTACTATGGAAAAAGGTGCAGAGAAGTTAGTCAGTAGCCAAAGTGAGATACAGACCAAGGTCTGTCATGCTCTGATACCTGTGTTCTTGATCACTGTGTTATCAGAGATTTACCCAGTCTGCTGAGTCTGGCAATCATTCTCTACTGTGTTGCAGTCAGATCATCCTCAGGTCTTTGTCTCCTGAGAGGCAGAGTGTCTCGTCTATTATTTGGCCAATCCTTTCTCAGAGAATTGCCTGGCTTCAGAATTCAGGTTGTGTCATTTGCTGCCCACTCTGTCACAGCAGTTAACTCAATGTTGTATCTTCTGTTTGCAGTGCTCTTTGTTGGGAAAATTACGATTGGAATGTGCTGACCTTCTAGAAGCAAGAGGAGTCGTGCTCCGTGACCCAGCCCTGTTCTCTTTCCTTTGGGTGGTGGATTTCCCACTCTTCCTTCCCAAGGAGGAAAATCCCAGAGAGCTAGAGTCAGCCCACCACCCATTTACTGCTCCCCACCCCAGTGACATCCAGCTCCTGTACACTGAGCCCGAAAAGGTACCATATCAATACTTCCAAGGAAAAAGGAAATGTGGAAATAAAGGCAAAGAACTTTAGGTTTCACAATCTGACCCAGTTCTGGAAGCCCCGGAAGAAACTGTCGGTTTTGAGCCAGTAGTTAAAACACTATCCCTAAGTAGCTACGGTGTCTTCAGCCTATAGAATAGGAAACAGAAATTTTCTCTAACATAAAGTCTCTGTGAATCTTCCAGGTCCGTAGCCAACACTATGACTTGGTTTTAAACGGCAGTGAGATAGGAGGTGGTTCTATCCGAATTCACAATGCAGAGCTACAGCGTTACGTCCTGGCAGCATTACTAAAGGTAACGTCATCTTCTAACTGGGCCTTTTTTTTTTTTACCAGAATATTTGTCAATTATGTTAAACGTTTGTTATGAATGTAGGAGTCACTAGATGTAGAATAGTTTCAGCTTATCTCTCTACCTTTAGTGTAAGACTTTGAAAAGTAAATGACAATAATAGCTATTTATTAGTGCTTACTGGGTGCCAGGCACTGTTTAAGTACTTTATATGCATTGATACATTTAATCCTCACGATTACTTTGTGGGATAGATACCCTCATTCTCCCCATCTTAAAGATGAGAAGCTGAGGCAGGTTAGTTAATTTGCCCAAAGTCACACAGCACAGAAGTAAGCAGAGCCAAGATTCTAACCCAGGCAGGGCAGCTCTTGAACCCAAACTCCTAACGTCCTAACCACTACACTGCTCACAACATGATGCAGTCTGGAGTGGCTGAAAGTGGTGATGATGCTGGAGAAAGACAGAGAGGTTTGAAAGGAGTTTATATCACTTAATACATACTTCTTTCGTTGTATTGGGGGGGTAGATTTTAGTGATAGAGAGTTGGGTAATCAGGATTTTAAAAAGAGTCTATACAGATGCAGGCCTGAGAATTTGGTTTTTTGATGATTCTGTAGAAGGCTAGGATGGGTTTCAGGACAGAAAAGATCCAAGCAAGTCTGATCCTGAAAGATCATTTTGTGGGATTAACAGGTGTGAGCTAGGATGGACAAACTTCATTTCTGAGAGCAGGATTGCAGAACCCGGAACACCAGACTCCTCCATTAGCTTCCAGGGATTTGGGAACTCCCTTCACTTCTCTCCCAAGTCAAAGCCTCCAGTCATCAGGTTCCCTGCCAATTTTTTTCACTTCTTTCGTTGTCAAGTTTCTCAAAGCAGTCAGTGAGAATACGTTGCTTCTGAGTCCTCCCTGTACCCCAGTGGTTCTCAGCCCTGCTGCCCATTGCAATAGGAATAGAATCACCTGGAAAGCTTTCAAAACAAAAAAACACCCACTGTTCCACACCAGACCATTAAATAAAAAGCTCCAGGTGTGAGGCTTTGGCATCTGTTCCTTAAAAGCCCCCACTTGATTGTGATCTGTAGCCTGGTGAAAGAACCATTTTCAGACACACTTCCAACGTTTCTGCACGCGTTGCCCCGCAGAAGCGACTTGCACAGTCACCAAATCCAGTGGCCTGTTCTTGGCCTTCAAGTTGTCGTGCCTCCCAGCAGCATTTGGCACTGTTGCCCTTCTACTAATGTTCTCTTCCCTTGGCCCCTGTGAGAGGACGGTTTCCTGCTTTTCATCCTGCCTTTCCGAGCCCACATCTCCATGTCCTTGGTTGGTCATACTCTGTTTGCATTATCAGTATAATAACAGCTGCACTTACTGAGCGCCAGGCACTTCTCTGCGTGTTTTAATATCTGTGACTTGTCATATTCTCTTACTAAACTGTAAACCTCTTAAGAATTTTTTTTTTTTTGTGAGGAAGATTGGCCCTGAGCTGACACTTGTTATACTTCCTCTTTTTGGTTGAGGAAGAGTGGCCTTGAGCTAACATCTGTGCCCATCTTCCTCTATTTTGTATGTGGGACGCCGCCACAGCATGGCTTGATGAGTGGTGTAGGTCTGCACCTGTGATCTGAACCTGTGAACCCTGGGCTGCCGAAGTGGAAAGCGCTGAACTTAACCACTGTGCCACCGGGCTGGCCCCAATAAGATATTTTTTTAACTCAACTTTATTTTGCCTTTAGCACCTCAGCATGCTGTGTGGCACTTAGTGGACCCTCGCTGTGTATTTAAATTGAATTATCTTTTGAATTTCAGGAAGATGTGAAATTGCTCTCCCATCTGCTCCAGGCTTTAGATTCTGGGGCGCCCCCTCATGGAGGAATTGCCTTAGGTAAACAATCTGTCTTTTTACAAGCTAAATTTCATTCTATAGCACTATGTCTCAAATTTGGGTTCTCAGCTTACAGGAGGTGGGTCGAGGAGTAAAGAGGGTGAGGGGTGAGCCAGAGAGTTCTACAGGAATTTAGGTTTGTGTTTTCATTTCAACGATATATTTTTAAAATATATTTTTCCAGTTATAAAGATAAAACTTGGCTGATAATTTGCATTTGAAAGGTTTTTTAATAAAATAAAACTGCAGCATCTTGAGCAAATATTGGTCAGACCCTGGGGGCCCACAGACACATTCATAGGAGTCAGGGAAGCACTGCTGCATGGTATCTGGCTCGTGCAACAATCGGAGTATTCACTGCCTGTCTGATGGCCGTGACTGCTTACCTTGCTTGTGTTATCAAGCTAGGAGGAGTGTGAGAAATTCTGGGAAACTCACCTAGATTATAGGCCCTCGACAACAGGGGCTTTCTTCTGTATTCTTGGAATGCCCTGCACAGCACCTAATTCTGTTCAACCTTTAATAAGCCCTTGCTAAGGGCTTATTAATTGCTGTGACATTTATTAATCCCAGTAGCATGTGAATATTAGTCCTGCGCATTTTTCTGGAATGAGCTAGAAAAGAACCTCTCAAACAAACAAAAGTTCCCTAAAAAGACAGGGAACTATGCTTGGCTGTGACTTGTTAAAGATTTGTATTTAAAAGTTCTCTACAACCTTTATAGGAAAACTAAGTCACTCCCAACCTTAGATTACATTCTTTTCTTTTAACTTTGTATTTAACTCACAGGGTTAGACAGACTGATATGCCTTGTCACCGGAGCACCAAGCATCAGAGATGTCATAGCCTTCCCAAAATCCTTCCGGGGACACGACCTCATGAGCAATGCCCCAGATTCTATCCCTCCTGAGGAACTGAAGCCCTATCATATCCAGGTCTCCTGGCCAGCAGACTCAGAAACAGAAAAGAGCCCATTGGATCATCCACACCATCCAGAAAGTTGAGCTTTTGAGTTTTGTTCTCTGTGCTTCCCCAAGGCTGAAATCAGGTCCAGAGTTCTGCCACAGGTCTGACAGTCGGGTCTTCAGGAGAAAGGAATCCAGGCAACATTCTTCACCACAATGAAGAAACAGATAGAAGGTATCCAGTTTTGACTTGATAACATGCATTATTAGGATTTTTTTGTTTGGGACTTTTCTGAAGTTTCTTTTTACTTGGAGAGGTGTGAAAGATGGCTCTTTATTGGAGTAATATAATGGCTTAGTGTTTTCTAATCATGTTTTTCATGCCCAGACTGTAGATTGTTCACCTAGGACAGAAGTAATCAAATCATGTGTGAAATATGGGAAAATGCTTGCCCCTTTAGATTGGTCAGTTGATGGAGAGGTCAGTTCAACCAGCCTCATCAAGAGAATCCTATAAATTAACTGGATAGTGACATTTCAATTATCAACATAATATAGTGAGAAGCAACATGATATAATGCAAAAAAATCACTGAAATGAAAGTCACACAATCTTAGTGTTTCACCTTGAGCAAGTTACATAAACCTCTCCTAGCCTCCCTTCCCGCCAGCATGAAATGCGAACAGTACTTGCCCTGCTCGCCTCACAGGGCTCTTCTTGCTGGAATCAGAGGAGAGGATCAGAGGAGAGGATGTATGTGGAAGATAGTGTGAGTGAAAATGCTTTGAAAAACTGTAAAGCATTCCACAAATGTAAGATAATGATATTATCCATTTGTAAACAGATATAGACATATCTATGTGTATTTTATAGTTTAAGATTAAACAAGACTATCTATTAGTAAAAGAAAAACAGTAATTTTATGAATCAGTATTCTGTTTATATTTCTACTTTTAAAAATAATCATTAATCTCTGAATAACACTTTCCCTCATAAGCAGTTGAAAATATTAATTGACCTTAGACCAACCTCAATGTATAAAAAAGTGAACACTGAAGCTCTAGTGTCTAAAAAAAGTGGACTCTAGCTCACTATAATTTTCTTATCCGTTCTGATGACACAAATAAAAGGTTATAATTAATTAATAATTATAGAGGCTGGCCCCGTGGCTTAGCGGTTAAGTGTGTGCGCTCCGCTACTGGCGGCCCGGGTTCGGATCCCGGGTGCGCGCCGCTTGTCCGGCCATGCTTGGGGCGGCGTCCCACATACAGCAACTAGAAGGATGTGCAACTATGACATACAACTGTCTACTGGGGCTTTGGGGAGAAAAAGGGAACAAAAAAAAATAATAATAATTATAAAATGGGGACAAGGCCTTGATCAATGAAATTATTCTTTTCTACTTATCTCCACCTTTGCTTTTGGCATTCTTTTGATTTATAATTTATAAACACCAAGTATCGGTCTTATATCCCTGCCTGTTTTTCTCAGTGCTCCAAGCAATGAGATACTATAATCTTTTTCTGTTTGAACATAAAATCCACTTCACTTCCAGGTCCAATTTGTGATGCTCCTGAGTGTGAATGTCCTTCACTACTGCAGAAAGCTAGTTCGTCTTTAGGGGGAGCTTTTCCCTAAAGTTTGTCCTTTACCCCAACCTCTCCCCATTTGTGGGTGTACTCCGGAGCCAGAAAATTCTTGTTGGCAGGGTTCTGATGGTGAGAAATGGTGTCTAACTCCGTTTCTCAGTGGAGAGAATTTCTAGAAATGCTCTTTATTGGGTAGGTAAATGCAGTTTTACATCCGTTTATCCCACATGGACGTTACCTAATTCCTAAATATAATAAATTCACATTTCACTATGTAGAGCCTAATTCTGACCAAAATATTGTCTTTCTATCCTGAGAATGAGTTATAGAAGACACCCAAAATCCAGAGAATATTTTCTAGGCTACAAATGCCAAAGGTCCCATGTCCCCAGATGTTAGACAATCCCATTCTGGCATCTCAGAGACCTAATCACCTTGGGCATCACTTAGCTTTTCTTTAGTCCTGCCTGTCAGAAAAAAAAAATGCTTATTCTGAAATCCAGGGAAATGTCATTATTTTAGATCTTCATCATTGAGGTGCGTTGAAATTTTAAATTAAATATTTTCTCAAAAATTAAGGAACTACTTACTGATATAAGTTGATAACAACACAACCAGGATTTTGGAATGCATGAACTAATTGTAAACTGGAAGCCAGGTTTATTTCAAATCCAATCTCCCCAACCTCGCAGGCAATTTAGATTTGTCCTAGGTTGCAAGTTTTAAAAACAAGGTAAGCAACTGCCAGCTACAACATCATTAGTTATTATTAGCTATCAGTAGAGCTTTGTCGTACAAGAGCTCTGTCTTATGAACAGTTTCTCCTTGTTGGGAAGAGATGTGTCGGATGATGAGTCTGACGGGATGGTTTTATGCTCTTTGGCTCTTGGGTTGAATAAAACAATGCATCTATACAGCTGCTCTGTCTTTTCCCAGAATCCGCCTCTGAAGAACCAGAACTGTCTGTGATACTGACTGCATTCCTTGCTGCTGATTTTTTGTTAAGCATAACTCATCCTCAACATGCTTCCTTAAGGATACTTTTTTCTTATTTCAAGGAAAGTGAGTTACTTTGTAACACAAGAAATAAAAAGGTACACAATAAAAATATTAGATGGGATATCTAACAGTTGCATGTGTAAGTCATACAACAAGTGCACATCTGAGTCAGTCTTCTGTATTTAAGACAGTGAACTTAGGAGAAAGAACTGGTCTGAGTTGGACATACCTGGATTTAATTCCTGGCTTTACCATTCCCTAGTTGTGCAACCTTGGCCCTGTCGTTTAACCTCTCTAGGCTCCTGTTTCTTCACCTAGAATAGCAGTTCTCAAACTTTTTGATCTCAGGACCACCTACACTCTTTAAAAATTTTTGAGGACCCCAAAGAGCTCTCTTAGGAATTAAAATTTCTTAAATATTTATTTACTCACTTTAAAATAATGAACCCATTACATGTTAACACAAATAGTGTATTTTTATTTTAAAAATAATTATTTTCCAAAACAACAATTAGTAAGAAGAGTGACATTGTTTTACATTTCTGCAAATCTTGTTGATGTGTGGCTTGATAGAAGACGCTAGATTCTCATATCTGCTTTTGCATTCCATCTGTTGCGATATGTTGTTTTGGTTGAAATATATGAAGAAAATTGGGCCTCACATAAATATGAAGTTAGAAAGGGGAAGAGTATTTTAATAGCCTTCTCTGATAATTATGGATATTCCTGTCTGATACTACACCAAAATTTGACAGGTTCCTCAAAGGTAAGTTGCAATGTGGAATCTGAAATCATATTGATGAAATTCTTTAAAGTCCTTTGGTCTTATATTTTGCATACAGCTTTTATGCATGATTTTGTAACACCACACATCAATCATTTGGAAAATATTGGTTCACTGCAAATGTTCCAAATGTTGACGCATTTCATTATACAATATCTAAAAAATCACATTGAGGGCCGGCCCCGTGGCTTGGCGGTCGAGTGCTCGCGCTCCGCTACTGGCGGCCCAGGTTCAGATCCCGGGTGCGCAGCGACGCACCGCTTCTCTGGCCATGCTGAGGCCGTGTCCCACGTACAGCAACTAGAAGGATGTGCAACTATGACATACAGCTATCTACTGGGGCTTTGCGGAAAAAGAAAGAAAGAAATAAAATTAAAATTAAAAAAAAAAATCACATTGATTAATATCACCACTGATCTCATCACAGTTCTTTAAGTAATGGGGGAAAACATCTACTCTGAGTAGTAACAGCCACAAGCTGGCACTTAGCAGGTTTGAACACTTTCCAAGCTGAGATTCAAAGTGTTTCCAGGTTGATGAAAGCAAATGCAAAATTGTCTCTAGATGAAAACACCTTAAACTGAATCCTCAAAGAATTTCTGAATATAAAGTTCCAAGGAACATAATCTCACAATAAAAAAAAAAAAATCACAAAACATACAAGGAAACAAGCTACATTATCAGACATTATCAGCAGTCACAACAAACAGAATCAGATCTGCTAATATTTCATGTATTGGAATTATCAGAGTCTGACAATAAGCAAAGTATGTATGGTATTTATAGAAATAAAAAATGGAATCAAACCTGTGAGTAAGGAATAAGAACTAATAAAAATGACGAAGCAAATTTGGTCAAAAAATAAAGAGCAAAATAAAAATTATGGAAATGATATACATAATCATTGAAATTAAAATTCAATAGATGAATTAAAAAGACGTAGCTGATAAAAGAATTAATGAACTGAAAGATAAACCTAGGGCCAGCCCGGTGGTGCAGTGGTTAAGTTCACATGCTCCACTTAGGCAGCCCAGGGTTCGCAGGTTCAGATTCTGGTGAGGACTGATGCACCACTTGTCAAACCATGCTGTGGCGGCATCCCATGTAAAGTAGAGGAAGATGGGCACGGATGTGAGCCCAGGGCCAATCCTCCTCAGCAAAAAGAGGAGGATCGGCAACGCTTGTTAGCTTAGGGCTGATCTTCCTCACCAAAAAAAAGAGATAAACCTGGAGAAATTACTCAGAAGGCAGCACAGAGAGACAGATGGAAAATACAAAAGAGAGCTTGAAAAATTTGAAGGATAGAGTAAGAAGGACTAACTATGTCTAATTAGAATGCCAAAATGAAAAACTAGGAAAAATGGGAGACAGGAATTATTCAAAATAATGATTGAGAATTTAATAATTGAGGAAAGCAAACCAAGCTCAAGCACTATAAATTATTTTTAAATTCACACCTTGATTACAGAACTCCAAAACCAAAGAGACAACCTTAAAAGCAGCCAGAGAGAAAAGGTAATGTACAATCATTCCAAGAGCTGACTTCTCAATAGTAACAGTGGGAGCAAGAACACAGTGGAATACTGTCTTCAAAGTGCTCAGAGAAAATAGCTCTCAGCCTGGAATTATATGGCCGCATATGATCTTCAGTAATTTCAGACATTTTCAGATAAACAAAAACTGAGAAAGTTTACAACTAATAGATCTTCTCTAAGGGGATTTCTAAAGGTTGTGCTTTAGAAAGAAGGAAAAATAATCTGCAAGTAGAGTTGCCAGATTCAGCAAATAAAAATAGAGGAAGCCCAGTTAAAGTGGAATTTCAGCTAAGCAACAAATAATTTAGCATAAGTATGTCCCAAATATTGCAAATGTTGCATGGGATGTACTTATACTAAAAAATATATTTCTTGTTTACCTGAAATTCAGTTTTAACTTGGTGTCTTATATTTTATCCAGCAACCCTATCCATATGGGAAAGTTAAAGATGGGAGAAGGAATGATTAGGAAAGACAATAGTAAATTTATGAGTAAATGTAAACAAACATTGGCAGTATTAATTATATCTAAGTTGTAAGATAAAAAATAAACAAGATAGGGGCCAGCCCAGTGGCCTAGTGGTTAATTTTGGCACACTCCACTTTGGCAGCCCGGATTCAGTTCCCAGGTGTGGACCTACACCACTCATCAGTGGCCATGCTGTGGCAGTGACCCACATATAAAATAGAGGAAGATTGGCAACAAATGTTAGCTCAGAGTGATTCTTCCTCAAGCAAAAAAAAAAAAAGGGAAAGATTGGGGACAGATGATAGCTCAGGGCGAATCTTCCTCAGCAAAAAAATAAAAAGCAAAATAGAACTAAAATACTGAACGAAATGGTATATGAATCCAGGTGAGGTGGTTGAAAAATCTTTCTAAAGTTCTTATACTTTTCAGGAGGAAGGTAAAGTGTTAATTATTTTAGACTTTAAGCTAAATATTCATATTAAAATGGCTAGGGTGACTACTAAAAGAATAGAATTAGAGTGTATAACTTCCACAGAAGAGTGAAAAAAAAAAACAGAATGAGAAACAATTCAAAACGGAATGAAAAACAATTCAAAAGAAGGCAAGAAAACAAGAAAGAAAAGAAACAATGAAAGAAAGAAGGAGGAGGGAGGGAGAAAGAAAGGAAAAGAGAAGACAAAAAAGGAACAGAAAAAGTGCGATACCATATTTATGGATTGGAAGATGCAATGTAGATGTCAGTTCTTCCCAAATTGTTGTATAGATTAAATT